ACCTACTTTTACACACTAAAAACTATATATTATAACCTAACTGTTCCTATAAACCTTACTACGCATATAAATAACATTTAACACATTAGATATACAATATTTTCACTTTACACTCTTACTACATTCTTTCCATTTCATTAATATTTGGTGTCATTAGAAGAATCCACTAAACCACTAAATCGAGAAAAATATACGCAAACATAATGATTCCGGCCCCGCGCTTGCGCGGGGAGTATGCAACTAGTAATTATAAGAGATTAAGAGCACTCGCATTTCTTTCCTTCATCAAACAAGTATATTCCCAAATACAGTTACACTTAGCTTTATTGCTTTACAAGTCCAGTAATACAATACTGCAACACAACAAAGTTTAGCAAGAGCAATCTCTTTTCCTTGCACATGAATCGTCAGGCTAACTCCAAATTGCATATATGTGCATGGGCTAAACCTCCAACGCTGGCCACACTCCACTTGCACACTTTGATGTAAGCAAAGGCCAATGATACAAAACATTTAAGACGATATTGAGATACATAAAGATAGCTTCAAGCAACGTTTTCAGACCCATTAGCATCGCATGTCAAATTTAGAACCTCCATTAGTTCCATTCGATATTCCAAACCTCTGAGATAGTGTCCTAACAGCATGCACCTTCAAGAAAAAAAAGCACACACCGTTATATAATAATAAGATGTCTTTGAAACCTTAGCAAGCAAGAGAGGGAAAGAGCAAAGCAAATCTAACCAGAAGAGAAGACGAGCAAGGTAATCTCGGGTCAGTGAGATCAGAGGCTGGAAATGAAGCGAAGTGTTCTCTACAAGTTCAGCACAATCTTCATCGCCTTTTGCATTTACAGTTTCAGTAGTAGGTGGAGCTTCTGATGTTGGCAATTTAGAGTGCATTTTCGGTGATAGGGTTGCGAGAAGACCGTGAACAACAGAGTGGATCGTCTCTTTCACCTCAGGAGCCGCGGGTTCTGACAACTCAGCTACCTGTTTAACAAAAAAACATAGTTTAGATGGTCAGAGAGATGCAGAAGGGAAAGCAATATTATCCTCACGAGCTGGAACATTGCTTCACACAGACCTTCTCAGGTTGCAATGATCTTAAATAGTCTAACAAATCATTCTTCTCTTCGCCAACAAACTGCTGCATTTGAAGAGCAGCGTTTTTGCGCCTCACTTCTTGTAATTCCTGCAATGCAGCGACATCATAACATGTGAAAGATTAATTTGGATTACAGATAGAATTCATAACATACTGACATCTTTTAGATAATGTTTAAGAGAAAAACATGATTTCATTAGAAACTGTACCTTTTTCATAGAAGACAATTGTGATTGCAGACGGAAGATATATTCTTGAGCTTCAGAAGATACTCTGCCAAGACCTTCTTTATCAATCATTTCAGAGAGGCTTTGCGTTTTGCTATCCTTTGTGGATGAACCATTATTTTCATCACAATTGACATCTGGTTCGGTATCAGTCCCTTTCAAATTGTATTCAGTATTTTCTGTAGAGTGGCTTTCCAGGTCCTCGTCATCCATGTCAAGGTTTTTTTCAAGAAAAAGCCGGTACTCAGCATTCCGCAATGTATACCTAAACACAGTGTAGCAAAACATCAAAAGATGTACTAATACTATTCTCTCATCTGAAGAGAGAATGACTCTGTTCTTTTACGCGACCTGCGACTAAGTGTGTGTCGCGCGACCTGCAACCAAAGGTTGTTCGTTTCGTTGTTTGAGAACAGTCGCGCGACACACAAAAAAAAAAAAAATTAAACTTTAGTAGCTATTTTTTCAGCGACTTGAAATCGCGACCTGGAACTATTACGGGTGATCAGTCGCTCAACAGCAAAATGAACAACATGCTACCAGCAACTTGTAGGATCAATCACACTACAGCAAAACCACCAGTCACAGGTCGCCCGACACGTAAACGAAAGTTAGTTTAATAAGAAAAAAAACATATAAATCACATAAAATCAGAAAAGCAACTAGCTCCAGGACAAGCTGCGTTGATCCAAACATCTAATGCCACAAAATGAATTGACTTTAACAATGATCATACCTCACTATGGTATTTTAAAACATTTCTATAACATTGTGCAAGAACAACATCACAACTAGTCCATAACTAAGCTAAAGAGTATATGAAGAAGTGAAGAGAAGAGAAGATACCCAGTCATCATGGAAGAGACCAAAAGCTTAGACAAAGGCTCCCAAAGAGATTCGATATGAACCTGAAACCTATCAGAAGGAAGAAGACCCAACATCCCTGAGATTGTTCTTTTCATTGCATCCAAAGTCGTGAGTGGAACATCTTTCTGAATCAGACTCACATCTAACGGCTCAATCTCTTGGATAAGATCTGCAAGTAAGCACTTCTGAGAGACAAAAACACCCAAATTCAAATTCCACACTATTAAAGACAGAAAAGTAAAAAAAGACAAAGAGTTTTTTTTTAAAAAAAAGAAGATTAAAACCTTATTAGGTGGTGATCGAGAATCGGAATGGAGAGTGAAATCGTCGAGGGAGAAGGCACCATCGTCGCTGCTGAAATTGTTGGAGGAAGAAGTTGAGGAGGCGGTGAGAGTGAGGGGACGGAAGCGCGAGGTGAGACGAGGGAGGAGGAAGAGGAAAGGAGAAGGGTTTGCGGGTTTGTTACGGAAGGTGAATTGAGGAAGAGAAAGGGAGAAGGAAGAGATAGTCGTCGTTATCGCCATTAAAGGACGGAAGGCGATTTTGTACGAAGATTCTTCTTCTTCTTCGTCTTTCTCTTCCTCTCAAACCCTAATTTTCTTGTCTGATTTGTTGGCCACAGAAGAAGAAACCAGAAGGTGACAAAAAAACAAATCGTCAGGAGGGTACAGTTGGCTGCGGTGGTCGGCTCAGTTCTTGAACCGGTTACAGCCCGGTTTTGTTATCTGAGATCCGGTTTTGTTATCCAGCTGTTTTTAAATGAAATGGCCTTATTTAGGAAAACAGCGATTTCATACCCAACATATACTTATATGTTTAATCCATACTCGATTTATATAACCATGCAGAAAAAATACCGAAACTTTTATAAAATTTGTATTTCATACCCAATATTTAATTTTTATGCGAAAACCTACAATTTTGCCATCTGGCTAACGGACATTTGACAGAGGAATACGTGGATACCATATCTGAAACGATAACGCTTTGTAAAAAAAAAAAATTAACCTTAAAGCGACGGAAATGTTGTCGTTTTAGACCCTTTAAACAATACGTCGTAATAATGGAGTTTTTTCAACCTATTTTCTCTGCAAAATCTCGGGATAACGACTCAAAGAAGAAGAATGTCGTCTTCATCTAGTTCAGATGAGTAATTGAGTTTAATTAACGTTAGTTAATTTGAAGTCACTGATAGTTTGTAATGGTGAAGGAGCGACCCGTGTTGTAAGGCGTGTAAGAGGTGGAGGAATTCCAAAAAATTGTTGATGTGAAGCTGAACCGAAGATTGAGACTTCTGACACTGTTAAAAACCTATGCAGATTGTTTTATTGTTGTCCTTATGAATCAAAAAAATGTAAGTTATTTTTCAAAAAACTGATAAACCCCCATTTGGTTCTCTGAGAACATTGTACTAATAGGAGAATTCTGGATTGTAGGATAAGACACATTTGTTTAAATGAACCGATGTTGCTATTGTTGAGGAGGTGGAAGAGATCATACCTGCTCTTGAGAAGGTTAAATTGGATGCATGGGAGATGAAAACAATTGTTGAAGGAAGTGAGAGAGAGATCAATGAACTCAAATATGTGGTGTATTATTACGAGAAGGAGATAAGAGAGCTCAAAGCTATTGTTAATTGGTGCAAGTATATCATTATGGGTGTTGTTGTTGTTGGGATGGTGTTGTATTTCACTCTAGCTTGAGAGATTGTGTAAGGTATTTAAAAGATCTTTTGGCAAGACTTGTGTTTAAATCTCTATGTTTGTATTTGTTGACATGTAACTTGTAAGACTTACGTTGGAAATTTGAGAAAACCATCTTTGTTTATATGATCCCATAAAAATAAAAAAACTAACAAGTCATACATAAGAACCGTAGAAGTCATACAAAGTTGAGTTTGCATAACATAAAAATCATTCTTAAGTCATAAGATTCATAACATAAAAACCAAAAGCTAATAACTCCAAAAACAAACACCATTCATTAGCTCATTTTCCTCTTCAAACTGGCTATATCCTACAAATCAATATCATAAAAAGATAGCAAAAAATTAAAAATCAGAAACACAAGTAATCTAACACAAGAGTTATTACATTACCTTCAACCAAGATTTGAACTTTGTGATGGTTGGCTTGGTCCTTCACCTTGACTAAGTCTAGATGGTTGTCTCCTCCTAGAAACCGCGCATCCAATATTAGAGCATGTCCTAGCGTTATGTCCTCTAAATCCACATCTCCCACAAAGTGTAGTCTTTCCTTCAATAATCAGTTTTATCCTCTTTTCCTTTGGTGCTTCTAATCCCTTTCCTTTTTTTTTGTTTCTTTTCTGATGAGACTCATTCTTCCCTTTAATTCTTTTCTTTTCTTTCTTTGTAGGCTGTGGAACATCTCTTGGTGGGGGTTGAATTGTGGCTTCAGCAGACGATCTCCAAAAGTTGATACCATTCACAAGACGTATTGGATCATTGTATTGCTGCCTCCATGTCATATCAAGTACCAATGGGAGACATAATCCAACGGATCAAGCTTTTTCTTCAATATGACTCTCAAAGCATGTTGACAAGAAATATCAGTCATGCTCCATCTCTTACAAACACAAGTCTTCGCAACCATATCAATCGTATGAGAATGATTATTCTCTCGAACTTCATAAATACCATTACCACTAGGTATCACTTGACAATCAAACATATGTTTCTTCTCAGCCTTGATAGTATTAACAACCTTTTCACTGTATTTTTCTTGCCACCTTAATGTCTTAGTCTTCCTTATATCCATACGGATCATAGCCTGCCTTCTAACTGTCACTAACATCTCAACCAGTGGCGTCTCTCGGGCTGTGTTGAGCGTATTGTTGTACGACTCAGAGAAGTTGTTGGAGACATCTTCAAAAACAGGAATAGAGCTGAAAAAAGTATGGCTAAAATTCTTTGGATTCTTCAGTAACACTGCTTCATACACACGGACATCGAAGTTCTTCAATGCTTTTAGAGCTATATCGTATTCACCAATATTGAAGCTCTTTGCTACTGCCCAAAACAAATCTTTTGGTAATTCCTTCCCTGGATAAACTCTTCTAAGGTTGACATAGATATGGCGTGCACACATCATGTATTCCACTCGAGGTAATTCTTGCTCAACCGCATTTATTAAACCATGCCATTGAAATCAAATACATGTTTAACCACTTATTAAACCCTGCCATTAAACAAACAAGTTTAGACACTTACTTTCTGCCTATCCGAGATGAGTGTGAACCCTGCTCCATCCAGCAAGTTCAAATCTTTCTTAAGCATCTGAATGAACCATAGCCAACTCTCTGTCTTTTCCACTTCCACAACTGTTCACGCAATGGGGAATAACTGATTATTCGAGTCTCTTCCTACAGCTGCTAAGAACTGGCCTTCCACATTTCTCTTTAAAAAACATCCATCTATCCCAAATATTGGACGACAGTGAGCAATCCATGTTCTCTTTAAGGGAGCTAAGTAGACATATATCTGGTCAAATATCTATTTGCCACTTTCTGTAGTTATTGTCCCAATCTCTACACTAGACTCGGGGTTACATTTTATAACCTCCATCTTGTAGTCTTTTAACCTTGCAAATTGCTCATCATATTCATCTTGAATCAACATTAATGCTTGATACTTAGCCTTTGTACATTGAGCATTAGAGACGATAATAGTATATTTCTCCTCCAACTTTGCTTGCATCGCCTTAGGCTTCAATGTAGGATCTCTTCTTATCTCATTTAGTAACAACTTCGCAATGATACGACCCTTAATAACCCTGTTATAGCCATTTGATATACAAGAATGCTCTTCCTTGAAACTCTTGATAATGTACATCCTTACTGATTTTTCAAAGGAGCAGTAGATTCTGAAAGGACAACTTTGATGCTTAGTACTTCCACCTCCATCTTTTGCAGGAACCGAGGAAATTACAGGTGCCACTACAACACCATCAGCTCCATTATTGTTGTTATCGTCTTGAACAGAAACTACTGCACATCTAGCCTCAGACTTTTGAGCTCTCCATCTTGTGAATTTAACATTGAATCCATCTTTCAGAGAGTAATCAACCAAAGCTTCTTTGAACTCAGCTATACTGTCGAATGCTTGGCCTAAGACAAGAACCCCACTTCCTTTTTTATACCTTTGGTAATAGCACTGCTCATTATCCTCACAATCAGAATTTTGGGGCGTGACTTCATCATTGTAATGTTCTTCTTCATCCACAAATCCATCTATGTTTTTCTCCACTCTTGCATCTTCCTCAAGAATTACCTCATCACAATTATCACATATACCAAACATTCTATCACCTACAGCTCCATTATCCTCACCTCCATTACCATAACCATCTCCATCATCAATGTCTTCGTCTTTCTCCATAAATATTTCAGCTGCCTTAGACCATATTGTTGCATCAACCAGCTTCTCAAACATTGCATCACCATTGCACATCACTTTAAGCTCTGAGAAATCTTCTTCAGGAAGCTTGAACCAAATTCTTTGCCCATTCAACGAGCTCCATGTTGCCTCGGCCATGTTTGTAAACAACTTTTCAGCTGGACATACAAGCTCAACAACATCGCCTCCCTTGTATGAAGTTTTGTCTTCGCTTAATTCAAATTTCCCCTTGTGATATATGGTGAATCATACATCAAATGGCTCACTGAAATTAAAGAAAATTCATTTTAGCATTTCGTCGAATTGGTGCTCATAAACAGAAACAATGTCTCCATTTCATATCGAAAGTAGAAAATCCACAATTCAAACGATAAACATCAATCTTCACATGAAATCAATGATTTGCTAAAAAACTATGTGAAAGCCCCAAAAATTTAAACCCTAAATTACGTTTTCAAAAAAATTTGAAGAAAAAATTGAGTGAGAATTGTACCTCATTTTCTTAATGAGTGAAAGATGAACTCTCTCTTATTTTGTTTCTTTGACTTTTTCGATATTAGGATTAAGATTCTAGAATGAGAGATTTGAAATAAAGAGAGAAAAAGAGTTTGTAGTTTGCTCTCTTAAATGTGGAAGGTGAACAAAGTCTTTTTTTTTGTTTACTATCTTAATTAAAGAGATAATACACGTCATTTCACATATGTCATGAGCCAAAATTGAGATTAGACGGTACACTAACAAACGTTTAGAAACTAACGACAATTGTAGGTTTATGCACAAAAACTAAACATTGGGTATGCAATTTAAATTTAATAAAACTTTAGGTATGTTTTTGCTCGGTCATATAAGTCGGGTATGGATTGAACATATTAGTATATGTTGGGTATGAAATGGTCGTTTTCCCCCTTATTTACCATCAAAGGTGTTTGGCCAAAGAAAAAAAACATCAGTTATCAAACAAATTTTTGTACGGGTCGTCTAATTTGAGTATCCAACTATTGATGAAAAGGCTTATTCACTTCTCACATTGGTGAATTTCACGAGATGTTCAAAAACTGCTTTCAACTTGGTTTACGTTGATTCTATCTCACGAATATGGAGAATTCGACCAAAAAAAGCACGAACTTTGCACGAATTTCCAAAAAAAACCTGTACTCGAACCTTGCCAAAAAAAACTTGTACTTTTGTTGACTTTTTTGGTTTATTAAGCAACTTAATATTGACTGGCCATATTGGCACAACGTTAAATGCAACGTTAAATGTTGCCGTTAAGTGAAACGACGTCGTTTTACATGAATTTGAAAATAAAAACAAGTACACTCGCGGATTCGTTTGGTTTATTAAGCAACTTAATATTGACTGGCTATATTAGCACAACGTTAAATGCAACGTTAAATGTTGCCGTTAAGTGAAACGACGTCGTTTTCAAATGAGATGAAACGACGTCGTTTTACATGAATTTGAAAATAAAAACAAGTACACTCGCGGATTCGAACCCGGGTTGATTGGGTCAAATGGCAAGGCATTTTACCACTGGACTACGGGCACTTTCAATGTTATTAGTAACACATTTAATTTTATTTGGTACTGATTACATATAAAAATTGTCTAAAAACTTAAAAAGATCTTTAAAATTCCAAAAAGTTGAAGAAATAAAGATTTTTTTTATTAAATTAATTTTGAAATTAAAATAAAAAATAAAATTTATTTTTCTTTAAAAAAATCAAAAGTCTTCCAAAATATTCATTTTTAAAAACAATTGCTAAAAATTGAAATTAATTAAAAACACAAATATACCCACATATTAAATTAAATTAAAATGCTTAAAATAAATATTGTACTCAGTATGAGTGTGATTTTAATTCTATCTAATAAATTTAACTTTAATTTTTTTTGCATTTTCTTTGAATTTTTAGTTTTTTTGGAATTTTGAAAAAAAATTGAAAATTTTGGAAGACTTTTGATTTTTTTAAAGAAAAACTAAAATTTATTTTTTATTTTAATTTAAAATTAATTTTATAAAAAAATATTTATTTCTTCAACTTTTTGAAATTTTAAAGATTTTTTTTAAGTTTTTAGACAATTTTTACATGTAATCAGTACCAAATAAAATTAAATGTGTTACTAATTACATTGAAAGTGCCCGTAGTCCAGTGGTAAAATGCCTTGCCATTTGACCCAATCAACCCGGGTTCGAATCCGCGGGTGTACATGTTTTTAATTCTCAAATTCATGTAAAACGACGTCGTCTCGTTTCATTTGAAAACGACGTAGTTTCACTTAACGACTCGTCAATTTTTTCTGTTAAATTTGTTGACGGCGTGCTAAATTGGCAAGTCAAAGAAAACTTTGTTATTTAATTCTAAAGTCAATGAAATTTTTGTGTTTTTTTTGACCAGCCTTAAAGTTCATGTTTCTTTTGGCAATTCGTGTAAAGTTCGTGTTTTTTTTGGTCGAATTCCCCACGAATATGACTTGTTGCATCGATGTCTATTTAAAAATAGTTTATTTACATGTTGGCAAACATGAAAACTTTTATACAGCTAAATTTAAAATGGACAACTCTTATAAAAAAACATAATCATATGATTAAATCTAGTAAATAATGCACGGCTCACCTATTTTATGGGCCTTACAGGGGCGAGTGGAGTTAGAGGGTGATAATTTAATCTTGAACATGATTTTCTTGAACATGATTTTAAACAATCAAAGCAACAACCTCGATCTACAAAATTACATCACCCAAATTCGGGATTGACAAGATTATTTGAATCCAAAAAGTTCACACATAAAATCCATAAAGCAAACCAAGCATGGACTTGAAGCCTTTTTCATGTTAAATATTTAGGGATTAAAATTTCTTAAATATTCTATTAATTTAGTCGAATTTGCTGCATTTTCCATAAGATAACGTCACTAGGTTCAAACTTTTCTCCTATCCATCTTTTTAGTGTTTCTTTACATGTTAATTATTCACCTCAAATATTTTTGGCTTGGGGTCCATCAATCTTCAAGTCCGGCTCTGGCTAAGCCAGATATTTATGTTCTTTCTGTTCCAAACTCTTGGAGTATTTATTTTTGTCCAGACATTTTACAAGATGATATACATACTTACTGATTTAATATAAATAAATTAAAATTGACAAAAAGAAGAGGAGTTATTTTACTGGAATAACAAAAGCCAAGTAGAAAGGAATATTACCGTCGAGGGTACATTTATTTGTTGTCTTGATAGAGTGTCCAATTTTGCACGTAGAGTCTGCTGAATCGTAGTAATGAGAGCTGAGGCTGATCTGTTGATTGAGCTGTTCTAAATTTTTACAAGATGAATGCTCCATTTGGATATATGTTTACACTTTCTGAAGTTATAATCAATTTTGTGTGCTTATTTAACATACGAACAAAACAACAACACAAAATATTTTTTCATTTTTGTTTTCTTTATTTTTTGTTTGCTGAGAGTACAATATAGTTATTTGATTTGTTAGCTTCTGTTCTTGAATGATGCAGAATAATCGAACTATACTTATATTCTAGGATTCTAATCGCCTCAAACCATCACACTTAGAACTATTAAAAAAAGTTAGCGTTTTGTCTCCACACATACCGTCTTCTTTTTTTTATGAAACACTACACATACCGTCCACTATTCTTAAAATTTTGATATCATCTATTGTTGTTTTGATTCTGTTTTAATTATTGTAAAAATAAATTATTGAATTTGTCATATAAGTATTTTCCCAAGTAAAAATGATGGTTTTACAAGCTACTCCCTCATCTACAACTGGTCTTACACGATTCACTAGTATAAACTTACTAGCGAGGACCAACACTAACTTTAAAATGCTACTATGATACAAAGAAGAAATCATAATCGATGGAATAAAAATCTTCTCACAGATGAAGAGATAATACCCTCAGAAATACAAGATGAAAACAAATGAATAGTAATATAACGTATTAAGTATACCCTAAACGATGGCTCAAAATAAGTATACAGGTACAAAGCCGTCTGTGATCAGATTTGGTGTCATTCAGGTTGAAAACAGACCTTTTTGGAAATTCCCAACTTTCTTTCCTTGTTACATCAGGAGCTGTCGTTCTACCGATCACTCTCATTTTCTCTCTTGGTTAGTCTAACCAATGCTCTGTAAAATAAATATACTTTCGGTTACACCGTTGGATTAACTTTAATTCAACTCCATAAAAGCTAACTCAGTTCTTTATCTCACAGACAAACTTGATTCACTTTGTTTATGTTAAGTCTTCCATCAAATGCCAAACTTTACACAATGCATCTTCAAACAAATTTACTAATTGAATGACATTAATTTCCATCAAAGCATACATGGTCCCTGGGAATATAAAAACTTCTCTAATCAGGATTTTTTTTGTCCCGACTAGAAAGAGAAAACAAATTACACACAGAGAATCCACATGGAAAAATAAACGAGATGAAAAAACCACTACGAAAACAAAGAAAAAACTAAATAACCAGCGAGGAATCTAATTATATTACAAGACCAAAGCGCTTATCAATTTAAAGCCTTTGACTTCACGAAGGAAAAAACATGGGGCCTGCCCTTATCTCCTCCTCCTCTCCGGGGTCCAATGCGGTAAAGCTGGGCTAAAATGCTCCGACACAACCCTAGAATCAAGTAACTCCACAATAGGCGTGAAGTTCACGCACCTAGGTACCTTGTACTGGTTAATCGACGCACCTCTTGAGATGGCGTAGTCCATTAACTCCTCGAACGTTCCGTTTCTCACCACCCTAATCTCCAACGGTCCAACCGAGTTATCAGCCACTCGACATTGCCTGTAAACCGAGTTCAACGACTGTTCCATCTCGAGGCAGCATCGAGTCAGAGTATCGTGACTTGGTTGCCTCTCTCCGTCCCTCACTAACAACTCCCAATACAATACGTAGTGGCCCGGGATAGTGCTTGTGTCCGCGTAGCTAGTGTACTCGGCTACGCGGGTGCCGCACTCTTTGAGAAGCAGCTTTGATGCGTTTTCCACGGCTTTCTGAAGTTCAGACTCGTCGGTCTTGTCGGAGTCGATGCTGAGGAGGACGTTCTTCCTCCTCACGAAATGAAACTGAGGTGCTGAGTTGTGGAAGCCTGTGACTCTGAGGATGTCACCAACTCGGTATCGACATAGACCAGCATAGGTCGTGACCACAAGTTCGTACTCTTTGCCAATCTTTACATCAACAAGTTCAACGGCCTTGGAGCCGCCAAGAGGAATGAATTCAAAGTAGGCCATGTTGGGCATAATTGTGTACGAGACTTCAGATGGTTTGCTCATCGGGTTAAGGTTTAAACCAAAGTAACACTCGGAGGAAGCATACATCGTGCAAGCCATCGGAAGACCACCGCTGTAGTATTCCAATGTTGGGATGTATTGAGCCATGGCTCCAGTTACGATGACATCAAGGTACTTAGTGTTGGGCCAAATCCGAGTGATGATTCCTTCCCATTTTTCGGACTTGCACTCCTGGCGGATGAACTCCGCCAGGTGCTGGTCCGGTTTGAGAATATCGGACATGCATTGTCTTATAGACGGGTCGGTTATCTCAGAGTCGAGAGAACCTGACTCAATGTCGTCGGCCAAGCGAGACCAATGGAGCTGGAGGAATCTGATGGCACGGAGGAGACCAGAGGCAAAAACGGCGCCCACACGGAGGACAGAGAGGCGGTCAAGGAGGCCGCATAGCATCTGAGTGTACATGCTTTGGAAGGAGTCCGGGCAGAGAATGGCTTCGTTGGGACTCGTGTAGACGTTGTAGGGGTCGTATGGTCGGGACCGGAATTTATCACTCTTGTAGTAGCTGGTTAGGACAGGTCGAGCCGGTAGCCCACCAGGTGTCTTTGTTTCAGACTTAACGAACAAGAAGTACAATCCCTTTCCTTTGTCTAGTCCTGGCACATACCTGTTAACAGAATGGAGAGAAAAATGTCAACGGCTTAACTAACAAATAATATATTTAGTTAACGTATGTAATCTACAAAAAAGTTATTATTTATTTTGTAAAGAAACGTTAGATTGGATTTGGACCAGCTGTTTCTTTTTTTGGACCAGCTGTTTTATAACCCGAGACCTACTGTAAATATTTTTTTTGTTAACCTTGAAACACCAAAGGACTAATGAGTAATGTGAAGAACTTACAAGTTCATGACGGGCATGAGGAGACTATAAAGAAGCTGGCGACGGTCGAGCTCTTCTTGAATGGTCGGCATGAGTTTCCTCTCCCCGGCTGAGGTTCCGGAGCTGGTGAGGAACTCGGAGATGGGATGGGCGGATAAGATGGGAGATCGGTCTCCATCAGCGATACGTTGGATCTCGGGCTGGAGATCTTCGTAGGTAATGATTGGAAGCTTTGATTTAAAGGTATCACGGTCTGTGGCACCTCCAAGGTTAAAGCGACGGAGGTACTCCGTCTCAGCGTTGCGTCTCAGAATCTCCGCTAGGAGGTTTTCTTGAACCGTATCTGCATTTCGAGTCATTTCCTCGATAAAACGGAGGGCTTTTGCGTCTTTTTCACACGCTGGAGGTCCCAACGGCGAGGAGAGGCTAGAGTCTACGGCCATTGTTATGTCTTTTCTCGTTTCTCTTTATTTTTTTTGTCTCTGTTTTATGGAATGGAAAAAGCTAAATCACGAAAGAGAAGTTGAGTTAGAGAGAGAGAGAAAGGTTTGTGTTTATTATACACTTTGGGATGTGTTTTGGGTTTGAAGAGCTTGTTGGGGGTTCGTATTTATATAGAGGCTGGTGGTTTGAAATGCCACGTCACATGGCCAAACAAACGTGAGATCGGACAATAACCTCAAATAATCTAAACTTATTACTTTTCAATCTTAACTAAGATATTGCACGCGCTCCTCTAAGACAATCTGTTTTATATCTCTCAAATTATTACACAACGCAATGAAAACATTTCTTAAGCAGATTATGTATTTTACCCTAAGTAATTAATTTACACATATATAAGGTAAAAACTCTATAAATAAATCAAGTTTTTATAAACTTATAAATAAATAAATAATATTGAGACTATGATTTTTATTCTATTAATAAATTTATAAAATATTTTTATGTTAAGATTAAAAATATTTTAGTTTAAAATATTATATATTATTTAAACTTTCCAACTTTGAATTTTGGCTATTATAATAATATTATATGATATAATTGATGTATGTTGATATGTATACTAGAATACAAATGCGCTTTTATATGTAATTAAATGCAATACCATCAAAATATTGAAAGGAAAAAATAAAATAGATTTGAAATTCGCTTCGAAGCAAAACTAAAAAAGCAAATTGATTTGTTTATATTTATATATTTTTCTATATATAATAATTATTAATTATGAGTTAAATATACACTATATAGTAGAAATTCTAATGTATAGTTTATTTTGACTTAGTAATGCAAATAAGAGACGATCCTGATAGTTACCATTACCATATTATTTGAAATTATACAACCAACAAATAAAAAGAATATATAAGTAACTATATGGAGCTGGTATAATTGTAGGTAGATTTTGAGAAGATAAATGATCGGGTCTGAAACAACTCTCCTGTTCTACACTCATGTAGCTACACGGATATGGATCTAATTTTAGATTTTATTTGAATATCCGGAGTAAAAATTCATCCGTGTATTGTATTTTTTTTTAAAGATTAATCTGGACTTTAGATTAATAAGAGAAAACTGACACTGGTTATTGCCACAAAACACAGTTTTAGCTTTGCTAGTGTCTTCACGTTTAAATTGTGATGATTCTAATAGTTTACGTATAAAACTTGAAAGGACGGAATCTTCAAAAAGATACCGCCAAGGCGCTAACTGTGGTAAAAAAGAAAGCAAAGAACTAAAGAGTATATGACTTTTCTGGTAAAGTGGTAAGTGGAACTATTTTAATGGATAATGAAAAAAGTTTCTTGTAGTAAATCTTAGAAATTTTGGGTCCTTTAGTCCACGTTTTCCTCGTGGGTATGAGGTCGCTATTGGCAATATCCCAATGAAAAGTTAAACATCCACATTTAAAGAAAAAGTTTTAACTGGATATTTGAGTTAACCAGTGGAGGTGGAACCCAAACATGTGTAAAATATTAAAAACTAAAAAAATTAAAATTACAAATAATTAACATTTAAATAGGGCTTTTAACAGGAAGGAGACTGGAAAGACACTGGCTGGAGAATTGTGTTGTGGAGCTGATAGAAGATAGATTAATAGATTAGATACCAATAAAATAAAAATAAAGAGGAGAACACAAGAAATGAGGCAACAATAAAGGAAAGGATGTTGAAGGTGAAGGGAACAAAGTAGGACTCAAAGAGAACGTCAACATGGTACGATAAGAGGGATTTGCATGTGGGGTTAGGCCATAGCCATGTCACCATCTTTATGTACGCGTTCCTCGTCGTCTTTCCCCCACTTTCCTTTTCTTCATTTAATACTTATTGTTCATATTTTTACTTTATGTTATATATTTATATCAACGCAAATTTCACTAATACCAGCATTTTAGCTAGGGTTTTTGATTTCTAAATGGTAGAATCACTTCACGATGAGACAGTCAGTTGTCATAAGTATCATAGTTGGAAGTAGGCATGCGACTTCTAGCCAAACCAAACAAAATCGTCCCGAGCAAAATGAACGTTTTGGTAGAGAAATTGATAAAGAATCAAACAGACGAAATTAATTAAGAACTTTTATAAAAGTGTTAAACTGAAGTAAACCATAGTTTTACTCGGTCAGTTTCGCAAATTACGATAATTCAAAATATATGACAAACAAAAGAAGCGAATCATATATAGAAGTGAACTACCTAAACTTGCATGTCTTGTTGGACGAATCGAGATATGGTCATTGAGTTTAATGTTTTGTTGTCGTCAAGTTAAGAAGATTGTCGCATGTGCCACTAGCTACCCGAAAGTGAATAAATTTTCCAAGCAAAATAAATAATTTCAACACTATTTTTGTTAATATAAGTACGATTTTCGTGAGAATATGATGTTATGAACCATTGAAATTCAATGGTAGTCGAGATTATAGATTTAAAATCCAGAACTTTTGCGGTTTGTTAAAAACATTTGGCTTTAGGTTTAAATCTATATTCCAAAGAGATCGAAGTGGAATGAGAAACGGGCCCCTGACAAAAGGGAAAGGTGTTGCTGGTTTGGTAGTCAGAAAGGAAGTGCCCCTTGGGCACATGAGACAAATGCCTAATTCCATGCAGGCATGCTTTCTTGCCTCACCAATTTCAGGTTTCCACTATAGACCACTATTACAAACTAATTAATGGATCATCACTGTTTCTCTATTCCCTATTTAGAACTCACTTAGAAGAAGCAATCAGTTAACCTTTTTTTTTTTTGCTAACCAAGTAACAATCAGTTAAACTTTGCTATTTCAGTTTAATTAATCAAACATTTTATTTAATATAGGTTTCTAAGTTCACAAAACATTTTACCAAAAAATGGTTTACAAAACAAAAAATGAAATTGGACCTATAGCAAGACAAAAAAACTATAATTGGAGAATTAGCCAAAAACTTTCACAGACCTCTACACGCCGTTTCTTTTCTATATTAATACAATATTACCCTTCAAATCAACCGGTTTCACCTGCACGAAATAAAATTTATATTTATTTGGTGTAAAATTGTAATGGTTACCTTCCTCCACATCTTCTTTTCACATATAGCAGTAACTTTGTGGAAAGCTAAATATCTCCGACAACAACACAAGTGAACGCGTTGAATCCGTCTCCTTCTCCTCCAAGTTTCACATATTCGTCGTCATAATCACCTTCCCCCTCTACTCCGGTTCTTTAATCGGCACAGAGTCGCCGGTGTATACTCCACAACGGCGGCGTTTGACAACCAGTGTTCGAGGAGACTTCTGAAACTCCAATCGTCTCCGATCGATTGACAGACGGTAAGTTCTTCGGTTTCTTCTCTTCATGTCGTTTTATTGTCAATTCTATTTCTACTTTGTTGTGGGAATTAGGTCTCTGAAACTCCCATAAATTCTCTTTGTTTTCCGTAGTTTCTCTTCACCGTCCCTTCGTTTGTGCAAATTCACTTTCTAATCTATCCGGCTTGGATGCGCTTCCATTTGATTGTGTTTTCTCTTCCATTTGAACAGTATGGTTTATGGTTTTCTCGTTGTGTTTCGTATATTATAATTATGTTTTCTTCGATATATGAATTACACAGTATTGCATTATGGTCGATTTCGTTTGCTGTATGGAATAGCAGCTGAAATACAACTTGTATGCGTGAGATCTTTTATGCATATTCTATTTGAAATAGAATAGGAAATATTATATGTTCAAACTATTATATTTGAGATGGAATCGATTGATAAACTATTCTACTTGAGATGAAATTGTATGATCTGTAATGAATGTCAACCGTTCTTTATCATTGTAATGTTTGAAATATAAAAAGTTCGTTTTATATAAAATACAATGGATTACTCTGTTATAAACATGTTTTCCTCTTACTTTTTTTTTCACGTTTGGCATTGACGAATTAGGGCTTCATGTAGATTGTTTGAGAAATACTTATAACCATGTTTCCATCTTACTTTGTTCTTTAGTTTGGCATGGACTCAACTGTGGTAAAGTAGTTGACTTTTACCGACATGAAAAGACTAAGGTCTTGCGCGATGGAAGAGAACCGAAAGAGGGTTCAATCTTGTTGTTGTTGTTGTTTCATGTTTTATTGATATGAGTTTCGTATCAGTACATATATATATGTGTGTGTGTGTGTGTGTGTTTTATATTAGTGTGTATATGATTTTGTAAAGAGAAACAATATATTGGACGTAAAAGGAATATCATTTATTATGGCATCAAATAAAACAGAATAAAATGGGATGTTGAATGGAATGATATTCATATGATGTTGTCTTTTGCACCTTTTTTCTTTAATGCCCTCAATATGAATTTTGTGTAAGCATTACCTTCTTCCCTACAATCATAGACACTTAAAATTGAATAATATGTATAGTGTTATTTTGTTTGTCACATTTTTATTCTATATAATCATGTAGAATGGAAAAAAACCTTATTGGTATTTCTAAATTTGGGTTTAATTTATGGAAGATTGGGGTTGACATTGGATTATGGTTTATATTTGCATGTAAGGTTTAGTGATTTGTTGATAGGGTTGAACTCTGTACGTTTGGGGTTTACTATTTAGGGATTAGGGAATTCAAAGGGTGTGAATGGATTTATAATTATATACGTTTTTGGCCATATGGAATAGAACACTAAGTGAATATGTATGTGGTCAATAAAGTGTATATCCCTCGCCGGCGATAAGTTGCAGCAATGCCTAATCAACACCTCGTGTCTATTCCATTTGATGATTAATAAAGAGTGTTCTATTTTGCTCACCAATATGTACTATTCTATCTATTTTGTTCCATTCTATTTGGGTTTAGGGTTTATACTTGAGTTTAGTGTTTAGAAGGAGGGGGGGGGGTTGAGATTTGAGTTTAGTGACCCTATCATGTATTATTCCATTTGATGATTAATAAAGAGTGTTCTATTTTGCTCACCAAT